CGTCAGATTTCCGCTCCACGTATGCTAATGATGATAGATCGAAGCTCAATGTACACGGTATTCACTATCTCATTATCTCTAAAGTCATTGAATATAGTGGATGGGAAGAGAGCTATTTCTTGTTGAGTGCTATGGTGAATCAACTGAGATATCCGAACAGCCATACGCAATACTTTTCAGCTGTTTTGCTGTCGTTATTTAATGGAACATGGCATGGCCACAAGAAGCAAGAAGTACAAGAACAAATCACTCGTGTTCTACTAGAGCGAGTTATTTGCAGTCGGCCCCACCCCTGGGGAGTTCTTGTTACATTCACAGAACTTTTAAAGAATCCTGTGTACCAGTTCTGGGATCTTGGATTCATCAGAAGTTCAACCGAAGTTGAGAAACTATTTGGAACACTTTACAACCATATTAGCGTTCCAGCAGCATGAAGAGCGCATATATGATCCGATATTAATTGCATGTGACTAATGACTATTGAAGTGATGTTTTATCTTCAGTAGTGGCATAAGTCTGAATCTATAACTGACTGAATTTATCTAATATGATTTAATATAACAAATATTCACGTAATAGGAATAGTTTGAGTGTCTTCATAGATTTCTGTTGTTCGTTTACCACGTCAGTAATGTGTGTAAATAACACTGTTGTCTACTAGCCGATATTGTCTTGCGAAATCAAGTGATCTCTGCAGCCGTGGAAGTGGAATTGACTAGAAAGCGGTTTATGATGCAGCAGGAGAAGAGCAAGAACAGCTGACCTGCAAGGATACCGAAAGACATAGCCATATAATAGAGAGCAACTGGCGCTACTATAGACTATCAGGAAAACGTTAACGAGCAAGTCTATGCTAATGCCTACACAGTGCTTATGTTTCTACGGGCAGAACGGCAATTACTGCACCGATTTCGAGTGGCGTACTTCAGTGGATCATAGGTAAGAAATGATAAAGAATTAAAACAGGGAAGCAACAATTATGAAATTAAAGACTCAAAACAGGCTTGCCATTACGCGAGCGGCGAGCGGCAAAGCTGATAAGGGAACTTAGCAAGTTTGGATTTGGACTACTAATGGAAACAGAACTATAATAGCTCGATTTAGCGCAAAACTCAAGGAATTTGTAAACGGTAACACGTTACATGTGAATATCAAATCTACACACTCAAACGTGACATTAAATAAGTCGATCTACTCACTGTCTGCGGTTGCTTTCCAAAACGCTGATCGGATAGGTTTATTGAACGTATAAAGTTTTGATGTGTGCTGGCCTCTGAACGAGGTGTGAGTTACTACTGACTCTTCGCCCTGTGCGTATGAGATATCGCTCGCGATCTTATAGATTTAGTACGTGTATTCATACAAATTATGACTAGTTAGAGAGAGATTCTGAAGGAGGGTGACTTTGATTAATGGATGGAAATAGCAGGCAGAAGCGTTTGTGCTGCCTAAGTGAACCAACAGAGTTCGTAATTTGAGTATCTTAAGTAAAGGTTAAATAGCCGTACCTAACGGGTTAGCCACTGGTTGCGATCGGAATGGATGCGAGCATGCAGGCACGCAGCTATAACTAGCGGGGATTGCGGATTGAGGCAGAATTAGTCACGATGAATTAGTAATTTAGATTGCTAGATAAACAGGATGCGGAGGAAGCGATGTTAGCTCAAGGCTTTTGACCTATTGGGGTTGGGTCATATGTTTTTACGGTGAGTTTTTAGCAACGTCGAGTTTGTATCACACTAAGCGGTGACCGGTAAACGAGGAAAATCCTTGTTGGGTCGCCTTAGGCATCGATCGCAACCGCTGAAAAAACAGTATACAAGTAGTGAATTAGCGTGAGCTGCCTTCTCCACGCCGTAATCGCTTCTCTAATCATTGATCGGAGCCCTAGATCCCGGGAAAGGCACTGTACTATGGTGCTTCAGACGGGAAACCAATTTTAAGGTTTGCTCTTTACAAGAAGAATTGCCCAACTGGTTTCGTAGCTAAAGCGCTCAGCAATTTTAAAAGCATTAGAGTTACATTAAACCAATCAGGTAAACCAATTATCTCAGTGTCTTTTTACTATTGGCGTATTTCCGGACAATTGATCCCAGTAGGTGGGAAAGTCTCTTTGCTGGCAGTAGTCCCACCCGTCCCCCCTTACTTTAGTATCTTTCTCTCCTACTTATTCCCTTTCCCAGGACATATTCCCACAGAAGCCATCGAAGAGTTATTATTATTAATACTCCTTTCTTCCCGCCACCCTTCTATTGCTATTCTTTTGCCGGCCTTTTATTTCGATCGCCGCATAATAAAAGATATCCTCCTTTAAAAGTCCTCTATTCTCCAGCACTCCTTCATTCCTATTTAATTGGTAAGTACCCTTCCTCCCTACTGCATGTCATCATTTAGTAATCTGGCCCCGCCCGTTCGCTTCCCGAAATCTCGCTTCAGCTGTTCAACCACGATACCCACTGGTCTATAGCTCCTCATAATACACTCAGCAATATGTCGGAATATTCTAATCCAGTTTTGTCTTTTTTTGCTCCTATCTCGTCTATAGGCTTCTTTCGCGCACACTTCTTAACACCTATATCTCGTCAGTTTGACTCTACGTGATTGGCCCATACCTCAAATTCACCGGATTTTAGAATCATAAGCACCTATTCAACTAGATGAAAAAGAAACTTGATAAACTCCTTAACTGACTCATTTCGAGTCGTCCCTTACTTATTTCTTTCCTTCTTGCATATTCGAGTTCCTATCTTTTACGCTAGCTGATAGGTCTTGTGCTATGGAAACTTACCACGTATCCTATATCCAGTTATTGAGGTTATATGAGCCGACGATATCCGTGAATCAGTATCGCTATTGCTTACTCTGATAATGGAAGCTGAAAGACTTAAACTTTTCAACGCCACTGAATCCGAACGTCGCGATGAGCCGGGCCTCGCATCATTTCACAACCCGTTTTGCCGCTCGTACAACCTAGAAATTTGAGTTTTCAAACAGGCGGATATAAGTCAAATTCGCCGCTACAGATCAATGAATAAATTATGCGAATACCGATTCGTTCATATTATCCGAGATAACTGTCACTGTGCTACTGAAATTGTTCCTGAATTGTCGTTACTGCACGGATTCCGCTGCTAGAATATCCCAATTCTGTTCCGTATGCTTCAAGATTGCACTGCACCCCGATTTCTCCAGATAATTTAGCTTCTTGGCGATAGGCTGCTGCTCGGATGGCGTTTTTTTCTTATTTCGCTATCGTTTAATGCTCATCAACGGCATGAAAGGTTTCGAAGACCGGTCCGAGTTTTGACCCTTGTGGAACGGATCTCTTTCAGTTTATACCATTTATGCCTTCACTGCTAGCTCGCAATTTGCTTATATATATAAACCGCTAGGCTCTGGTGTCAAAGTCTCTAACCTTGGTTGAACTATCACTTTGTTTCAGATAGACTTTAACTATTTCAAGGGTTCGCTATCAGGGTCTCCCCGGACATATTTAGTGATTTACATGCCGTTTGGATCCGCAATTTATCATTCTTTGATATCATCATCTAAATGCAAACAATACTAACCAACCCAGAAAATCACAATTTTTTTCTCAACAATATGATGCCTGCGCCTATAGATATCGCGCAGCATTCTCGATCTTCCCATCAACGGTTTCGAAGGGAGTCGATGGCACATTCGCAAGGAATGGGAGGCGTTTCATGGGGCGCTATGTCTGTTGGCTCCTGGCTCAGGGATGAAGTTATAATGGGGAACCTGAGCAATCAGGTACCAGATCCCGCAGTTTATCACGGGCAGATGAGCACATCACCATCTCTACATTCTTCTTCTTACCTTCCTCGTATGGAAGCTTCCTTCTGCCGCGACTACAGTTGTTGTGGTAAAACACTTCCAACCTTGCACGATCTGCTTCGCCACTGTGAGGAATCACATATTGCCCCATCCCCTCCTGTGGTAGAACCGCCTATGATGCGTGCAATTCCCAACCTAGAGGCTGTATCTACCACAGAAGTGTTTCTCTCTCCAGAATCATCGAATCCTAGCACACCTATGGTTGTAGATGAAGACGAAGACATGTGCATAGATGACCCTGGGCGTCATTTATACGTTATTGAGCAAGGTGAGAATCGACCGTACAAATGTCCCGTTATAGGGTGCGATAAAACCTATAAGAACCAGAACGGACTCAAGTACCACCGACAGCACGGCCATCAAAATCAGACTTTGAAGGATAACGATGATGGCACATTTTCAGTTATAGATCCAGTTTCCAACGTTCCGTACATTAATGGTTCATTTGAGAAGGACAAACCGTATCGATGTGATATCTGCGGTAAAAGATACAAAAATCTGAATGGACTAAAGTACCATAGAGCACATTCAACGCATTAACTTTCAGATTGATTATTTGAGTTTATCTTTTGGTCTTTGATTTCGGGATCTGATTCCACTCTCTACTTGAAGGTTTACCTAAGGAGAGTATTTATCCTTCTGCCTGAATGCTGGTATAAGTATTCTCCTCATGATTGTTGGAAAGATTATGCGCGGGTGCACTCTCTAGCTCAACTTCGAACGAAATCAGAGAAGCAGAAGAAACTGATTAAAAGTGAAGTAAAATAAAGGCTTGATCTGAGATAAGCGTTTTGTTTAACTTGGTTACTATGCACATTTTACGTTGCGAACCATATTAGGGATTTTTGCGGAATCTGTGATTAAGTCATTCGATTTTGTATACAATGTCGGGTATGTTCTTGGAGTAAGAATCTTGTTCGCTATTATTAAAACTGGGATTTCGGTGGTTTATTTAGCACTATAATAGTGTGTTTCAATAAATGTTTGTAGACATGGTATGGTATAAAAAAGTTCAAGCAATTACTCAGCACAACGAGCAATTAGAATATCTATTAGAATGTGACATTGCGTGAATTAAGCAGTTTTTTTGTCTAACTAGTCTTATGATAATATAAGGATCTTAATCGTAAAGAACGCTGTGAATTGTCCCGGTGGCCGAGTGGTTAAGGCGACGCCCTGCTATTACTAGTAGTCGAGGCGTTGGGTTCTGCCCGCGCAAGTTCGAATCTTGTCCGTGACGAACTTTTTTTTTTCTTGTTTATAGACTTGAGCATGCATTTGCTACTAATCCCTACCGTAGTCGCTCTATTTATTATATGTAATCTCATGCTTAGTTTATGCTTCTAATCAAGCTAAGAAGAAGTATACTTCGTGCTGTAGAGTGTAAAGCCGATTGACATTAGCACTATTTTCGAGTTGAATTTTTTGGGAAGGCACTAATTATTCGGAATTTCCGAGTAAGGTTGTGTGTTGAAAGCTAAGCTATATTTAAACTAATTTGAATGACAGTAAGATTCACTTTCATTTCGATACTATTGATTGTCCTAATTTCTAAGAACAAAGAAGTTATGAGCTGTCCAGTCGACCATGAAGGACCGTCATCGGCTAAGGAATGTCCGGTTGACCATCAAAAACTCTCTAAATCAGAGACTTGTCCGGTAGATCACGGAGCGAGAGAACAGTGGCTTAAGATGGCGTACAAAGATCGGAAGCAGAAGCCGTCAGAATTTGTTCTCAGCAGCGGTCGAGAAGTGTCTTCGATACCCAAAGGCGAGAAAGGGCAAGGAAACTGGATATATCCGTCACAAGAACAGTTCTACAATGCATTAGTAAGGAAAAATCGAGATGCCAGTCCTGAAGATATGCAAACGATTGTGCCGATTCATAACGCAGTAAATGAGAGAGCCTGGTTTGAGATCATGCGATGGGAAAGAGACTATGATTCGTCATCTTGCGGTGGACCAAGGCTTGTCTCTTTCCAAGGAGATGCATCTAAGCTATCTCCTAGAGCTCGATTCAACAAATTATTAGGGTACAGCGGCCCATTCGATCGACATGACTGGGTAGTTGATCGATGCGGTACGCAAGTTGAATATGTCATTGATTTCTACGCCGGGCAAGCCAATACTGGCGACTTATCAAAACCTTCATTTTATTTAGATGTCCGGCCGAAATTAAATTCAGTTGAAGGAGTAAAAATGAGGCTTCGAAAGTTCTTTGGTATGTAAATATTCTCTCAGGCTACTTCTTCTTGTTCCGTTTCTCTACACTTCTTCCCCTTGCTCTCCCCAAGACCTGCCCAACTATACACACATGAGCAATACGCGGCAAGTTTCTAGTCTTGAGCAACGGACAAATGAAGCTATAAACCAGCTATCGACAAAGTTTGTAGATATTATAGAATTAGCCACATCAGGACGTAAATCGAAAGCCACATCTGCAGCTGAGTCTTACCAAATTCAATGCGATGTTGAATCTTTGAAACGTGCGAGCAATGAACTTTTAAATGTCACCAAGTCTTTAAAAGAGGATTGGATATTTAGTAAAATACAGCCAGAAATGCATTCAGAACAGCTAGATGATATCGAAAAAAGAAAAGAACTAATTGATGCTGTTTTCGCAAAGTACATATCTTCAAATCTACCAACCGAGCTTGGTCTGTTCGTGGGTGAAACTGCTTCTTCGTCGGACAGCGAGTCAAGAACCAAAAATGAAGAAGAGATCTAGAAATTACTAATTCAGGTTAAGTGGAGCATTATGAGAGTAAAAATAAACTATGAAATAACACTATGCAAAATTCCGTTTCCCTAGTTTTCATGTCTGCATTAATATGTCCTGCAGTGAAAGCAGCCTAGTGGTATAACGCTACCACTGATCTTCTGTCAGAAACTTGACAAATCGGTAAATCAAGCTAAAAGTTTCACGACCAGTTGGTAGTATTTCAGACTCTGGAAGTAAAAATCCGTAATTTCCCATATCCCTCAATTTGATCTGAAATGCAAAATCAACATGGTTGTGGTACATGTAGTCAATAGCTGACCCGCCCATGATGTCCAGCGCTCTAAAGCCTCCTTCTGAAGCTCCGAATCCTCGTTCTCTGCAAGCGCGACCTACTGCATAGTACTTGCCTGTGGACAGACGTATCGCCTGCGCAAGATTGTACCCCAGCTCCTCTAGGTTTTCCAGGTCGCGCGGGTTCTTGTCGCACGTATATGCATAGGGGTACAATATCTCTTCAGAATATGAATGAAGGTCAAGGAATCCCAATACATCAGCATGCGCGGTAGTGTTCAATAGGAATAGGGTAACTGAACGAGCTTCATTAGCGCTCATAGGACTACTTCCAGGGTAGAATTCAGAGCATGGGGAGATACCCCATTGAGGTTTGATTTCGTACTCTTCAGCGGCATGACCGCCCCAATGCCAGTTGAAGTTGCGGTCTATGTCCACGCCGAAGCAGAAAGGAACGGCAGTGGGCTGGCGATTTTTTCGCCAGAGTCGGTCAGTATTCCACGAGTATTCGTATCCGTCGACGTTAACAACTGGAATAAAGTAGAAGTCGAAGTTATCGAGCATCCGCCGGACATGCCGCGAGGATTCCTGCTTGCGCAGAAGGCGATCAATAGCAAAGAGGCTAGAAGAGACCGAAATCCATTCGCGACCGTGCTGGCCCGCAGTTATAAAGATTGCCTTGCGTCTTTCTGAAGACGACAAATCAGGCGATATTCTCACAGCCCATATTTCGCGACCTTCGAAGGATGTGCCTATTATCTGGGTAGCCACATTGTTGGGGAATTCTTCTTGGAGCGACTGCAGATGTGCGTAGACTTTGCTCAATGGAAGATAGTGACGCAGTGGTGCAAAAGGAGCAAGGTCTGATGGAGCAAGAGAAGTCGGGGCAGACATATTGATAAGTACCTGTACGTCCGGGATCCAGACTTGGAAGGAGTTAGAGAGTTCAGTAGGAACAAGAGCGAGCAGACTCGCCAGCGCAGTATCAGTGACAAGAACATCAACGTCACTAGATCCTAATCTCCATACATCAATATCGAGAACATCAATGGCCTTCAAAAGAGGAGTCCACAACGTCTGCGGGACATCAAACCGCACAACCTTGTATCCGTCATATGATTTATATGAGGCGGCAGTGCCTTTAATTTGAGGCAATTGGAGTGGAAGCTGATACGCCGCAGCTATAGAGACAAGCCAAAAAAATATAACCATTAGTAATTGTGTCATTTTCTAAGTATAATTATCAAACTTGGAATCTGTTGCGCATGTATGTGGGCCAGTTTAAAGTGTGTAATGTGAGATAAATAACATTGCTATTTTTGGGTCCAGTTGGCAATGACCCCATATTCCCAATGACACACTCCTTCTCGAGGGCTAAACCTGTCCCTACCCATTTAAAATCGTATCACATTTCAAACGTCAGCATTCTGCAACTGTTCCTACACCGTTGAAGGGCATTTAGATGCATATTGATGCTAAAATACTGTGGTTTTGATTCTAGGTTATAAAATTGAAGGCTGTTAGAAGCTCTATATCCTTCTTTTGAGATAATTGATCGGTACTATACACTGACCTATCCTGTTGCATGCAATCTTTTGCCATAAGTGATTGTCACAGGACATTCGCTCTATCTACCAATATCATTGCAACAAATACATACAATATATCTGCATAGCGTCTTTACTGGTTTATATAATACCATCATTATAAAATGCCAAAGTTTTATACTAGGTCCAATAACAGTTCCAGCATATCGGTCGCCTCTGATACACACCATGACGACGCTGTTAATGCAACAACTTCCAACACTTCCAGTTCCGACATTAAGGAATTGTCTCGTACAAGCGTTCATACCGATTCTATGCCTCACAGGTCCGTCTCGTCTGCGGAAATGCTTCAACGTGAAGCTCAATTTCCCATCGCAAACAGAAACAGATCCAACTCGTCCGTAGAGTCTAACTCTACTTCATCTTTTCGTCGCCCAAACTTCAACAGATCAAAGTCTAGTGAGGAAAGCATCTATGCCTCTTCAAAACTGCTCTCTTCTTCCAGAAATTCAAAATCATCCAAATCCCTTAAGTCCTTGCTTAAATGGAATCGCAGCGGTTCCGTAGAACGCAACAACAGCACCATTGACTCAGACCATCCTTCCTATTCGCAGATGCATTCAAACAGCACAGAAACATCTATCTCCTCCTTACAGAGAAGTACTTTGTATGAAAATGATACAGATCATAATGATTATACGGGTAACACTCCATACAGAGACTCTCTCACTGAGGACTCTCTAAATGCTGCAGATAACTCCGTCAGACACCAGTCTTACATATTCCGCTTGAAGCATCGAACGACTTCCTTTCTGCTAGGCCAGAAAACTTCAAATTCGAGTTCCAGAAACTCTCGTGTTCAAGACTCACCTTCTAGTAGCTCTACGCATTCGCGTGACTTAGAGGACCTAGCGGATGATCCCCTCTCCCTTGCTAGCCTCGGCCGTTCATACTCCTCGCATGACATGAAGCGTATACCCACAGAAACAAAATTGAACCAAAAGCAAGCTAGCAGGGCTAGAAGCTCAACAGTTTCTTCAGTGGAACATAGAAGCTTCAGATCTTCCTCTTCTCCCTCCTCAAAGCATCGTGACTCTTCACAATCCGGGAGAACCAACACTGCTAAAAGCTCCGTAATCAGGTCCAGCTTTTCCTTTGACAAAGTAACGAGTCTGGCAAATCCATTTCAGAAATTTTCTTCCTCCCCGTTTACTCCTTCAAGTCCTCGAAGGGCATTCACTCTAGAAACTCCTGATATCCCTTCTCCAGACCCGCCTTTACCTGATGAATCAGAAATGGATTTTCTTATACGGCTACAGACTACCTATGGACAGTCTATAGTGCCAGCAGTACTATCAAGGTCCTCGGATACGTTCTATTTTCACTGTTTACACTTGAGCTTTGCAGCTATCGACCTCTATGACTATCCATTGGATATGGCCTTGAGAAAACTCCTGCTATGCTATCAACTTCCAAACGAAACGCAACATATTGATCGGTTTCTTTTGGCTTTTTCTAATAGGTATCACGAAGAAAACCCTAGGTTGTTTGAGAACTCAGATCAGGTCCACTTTATGGTATTCTCTCTTCTGATATTGCACACTGATTTCTTTAACGCAAACAACAAGAACAAGATGTCTAAGTCCGAGTTTCTGAAAAACTCTGCACAACCGTACATTTC